TGCCTGCAGATTCTGTCTAGCCCTAGTTATAAAATAATTAATAATAATTAATCAGCAAATCAGCATGTTATAATGATTTCTAAAATATTGCGTGACAATAAAAACTTCATTAATCATACTAATATTTGAGCTTTAAATTGCAGAATTAATTAATAATAAATTTTGAACTTACACTCAATAATAAAGTAGTTACTAACCCAAAGACCTCCCGGATTACAGAGGACACATCCGGAAGTTCACTTACACCTTGAGCTCCTGTGTGTTTGTCGCCTGCAGGCTAAAGTTTATGCCTCTCGACCCGTTACAGTCGTTGACCTCTCCTACTGAGCAGAATCTGTGGAAAATAAAAGACAAATGACTCTGCGTCTCACATTCACACTCACACGACTCTTATAAGCACATTCCATAGGTAGAGAGTCTTGAAAACACACAAACGCAGTGTTTCAACAAGCCTGACAGCGCTGTCACTGAAGCTTTGTGGTTAAAGTGGTGATGTTTTTGTTGATCACAGGTGCTTAATCTGAAGGCTTTGCTCTTTTTTTCCCCCCTCTCGCTGACTGTAAGCTTCTAATAACAGGGCAGTGGTGTTGTGCACTGATATTAGCGGGATGCAGTTTTGTCAGGTGGTGTGCGAGAAGAATTTTCAAGAGATGTCTTTCTGTGTTTATCGAGCCTTTCCCATCCTAGGTTTTTCTCAGAGGGACTTTCCAAATGGGTTTTTCAGGCCCTGTTCTGCAATAAAACTGAAGGATGTTTGGTTCAGGAAGTCTGCATGGGATTCAAACATGTCCATTGCTGCTAAACTTGTAATGAAGTTTGATATGAGATTCTTAGAAAAGTCTCCTGATGAATTTCGCTTGTCAGTCGCTATTAAAAATCAAACCGGTTCACTTCATCTGTGGTCCTGAATTTTTGATGTTCTTCACAGATGACTCTTTATTTTATTTTATTTTATTTTATTTTATTTTATTTTTTATTTTATTTTATTTTACTTTATTTTATTTTATTTTATTTTATTTTATTTTCGCCTTAGTCACTTTATTATTCTGGGGTCACCACAGCGGAATGACCTGCCAACTTATCCAGCATTTATTTTACATTGCAGATGCCCTTCCAGCTGCAACCCATCACTGGGGAAACACCCATACACTTCCATCCTCATACATACACTACGTACAATTTAGCTTACCCAAGTTATACCACGTTTCTGGACTTGTGGTGGAAACCGAAGCACCCAGAGGAAACCCACGCGAACACAGGGAAAACATGCAAACTCCACACAAAATTACCAACTGACCCAGCAAGGGCTCAAACCAGCAACCTTCTTGCTTTGAGGCGAGAGTGGTACCCACTCCACCACCATGCTGTACTTTTATTTTAATTTATTTTACTTTATTATTTTATTTAATTTTTTATTTTACTTAATTTGTTTTAATAATTTTGTAGTTCCTTTTTTTATTTAATTGCATTTTAAAAATATAATTTTATTTTAAAGATTTTTATTTGATTAGAATTTTTTTTATTTATTAATAATATTATTTGATATTTAATATTATAATGATATATACTGTTTTTATATAATATGAAATTTTATATTATTTGTTTATATGTTTTTATGTATGATTGTGTAAACTTACACTACTTTAATACTATTAAAGTTTAATTCTATTTTAATTCTTCAGACTTTTTCTTAACCTTTACTCTTTACATTTTTATAGTAAAAAAAGTATATACTGTATATGCACAGTTGAAGTCATAATTATTATCCCCCTGAATTATTAGCCCCCCTGTTTATTTTTTTCCCTAATTTCTGTTTAACGGAGAGAAGATTTTTTCACACATTTTCAACAAATTTCTAAACATAATAGTTTAATAACTAATTTCTAATCACTAATTTATTTTATCTGTGCCATGATGACAGAAAATAATATTTGACTAGATATTTTTCATGACACTTCTATACAGCTTAAAGTGACATTTAAATACTTGACTTGGTTAATTAGGTTAACCAGGCAGGTTAGGGTAGTTAGGCAAGTTATTGTTTAATGATGGTTTGTTCAGTAGACTATCCAAAGACAATATAGCTTAAAGGGGCTAATAATTTTGTCCTTAAAATTCTGTTTAAAAATTTTTAAACTGCTTTTATTCTAGCAAAAAAAAAAAAAAAAAAAGCCTTTCTCCAGAAGAAAAAAATATTATCAGTCAAACTGTGAAAATTGCCTTGATCTGTTAAACATCATTTGGAAAATATTTAAAAAAGAAAAATAAATCATGGGGGTATATATATATATATATATATATATATATATATATATATATAATGTATTTTAATCTTGTCTAACCAAATTGTAAAACTTTCAAAAACAGTTACATCTCCATTTTGAAATGCAACTCTATTTTACTAAAACAAATGCATGAATAATTTATTTATCTTAAATCTAAAAAACCCAAAACCCCTTTAACACTATTAAACTTCTAGTTATTAAGCACTTATATTTTTAAGTAGCTCACATGTAGTTCTTCTTTATATGTTGTTCTCAAGTGATGAGTATTGACACTGGTGATGAACTGATCAGCTAACGATGAGTGTTATATCCACATCAACAGTGATCTCTGGAGCAGGACGCCTGTTGTATTGCAATAATTCTGAAGTCTTACATTCTCAGTAAACACTTCAGTGTGCAGCCTTCAGAAGTGCATTAACGGTCCAGCATGTCCATCTGTTGTGCATCTTGACCGGTTCCTTCATTATCTGCTGCTCTGATGTAGACATTGATATTGTATGCCGCTCGGCTATTTCTGAATCATGATTACGCCTGTGGTTTAAATGAGAACTGACCGAGAGAAACAAGCCAGAATGATGATTTGAATGGATAATAGATTGTGTTTCAGACATGCATTTGAGGAGCGGATCAGAACCAGACCTCCAGAGCTCCAGGCACTCGCTTCACATCTACACAAAGCTCTTACATCAGAAACACACAGTTCTTGAAAAGTTTGGCGGTCTGACATACACAGATATATTATAGATTGGACATATACAGTCGAAGTCAGATTCATTAGCCCCCCTGTATGTATGTATGTATGTATATATATATATATATATATATATATATATATATATATTTTTTTTTTTTTTTTTTCCCCCAATTTCTGTTTAGCAGAGAGATTTTTAGAACACATTTCCAAACATAATAGTTTTAATAACTCATTTCTAATAACTGATTTGTTTTTTCTTTGCTATGAAGACAGTACACAACATTTTAATAGATATTTTTCAAGATACTAGTATTCAGCTTAAAGTGCAATTTAAAGACTTAACTAGGTTAATTAGGCAAGGGTAATTAGGCAAATCATTGTATAACAGTAATTTGTTCTGTAGACAATCGAAAATATAATATTCCCTAATGGGCTAATAATATTGACCTTAAAATAGATTTGTAAAAAAAAATCAAAACTGTTTTTATTCTAGCCGAAATAAATAAAAAAGACTTTCTCTAGAAGAAAAAATATTATTGGAAATACTGTTAAAACTTCAACTATACATTTTTTTTGTCCAAAGCAACTTACAATTGAGGAGGCATTCAGCAAATCAAATAGAAGAGGCAATATACACAAGAAGTGTTCATTATACAAAAGAAGTGTTGTGTTCAGAGAAATAAGTGCTAGATTTACGAGGAGAGTGTGTTATTTTCTTGTTTATTTTAAAAGAGAGAGAAAGAGAAAGCGATTCTACCGGTGGTAAAGCACACTATAAATGTTTTTTTTTCTTATCATATGTAGTGATTACATTCCAAATCATACATTTTGAAATGTTTTTTTTTAAAAGAAGCTAATTTTGTATACTGTATTGATTTTAAAAACAGTAAAATTGTAGAAATATTATTACATAACATTTTTTTATTGAACATAGTTGAAACTGTAATTTATTCTTTGATTTCAATCCAATTTGTCCAAATTTTGTTTTGAAATAAAAAAATGCGCGTGCGTGCGTGCGTGCGTGCGTGCGTGTGTGTGTGTGTGCGCGCACGTGTGTGTGCGCGCACGTGCGTGTGTGTGTGCGTGCATGTGTGTGTGTGTGTAATGCAAATTACATATGAATTTAAATATCTTTGTAACATAATGCTTTTGAATAGATTTGTTTTTATGTTTGTGTGTATGTCACATATACATAGTAAATATAAATAACATAAACATATTATCTCAAAAACAAACATTTAATTTGGATGTGATTAATCTTTGCCCAGCACTAACTATAATATGAGGATTTGCTGCTGTTTCAAATGTCATATTATTTGTTAAAACCAATACAGTTACATCCAAACGAATCATTTAAATTGTGTTTACTGTCATTATTAAAGGACATATTAAAATAAAACATAACAAATAAATACTATAAGTAAATACTAATACTTTGTAAATACTGTTTTATTTTATATTACACTATTATTATTTTTAACTTTTTTTTTTTTATAAAAAAATCCTAAAAGTTCAAATGGATCAGTTTCCTCAGAACTGTGAAGCAGAATTTTTTATTTTAATATTTGATCGTAGATTTGTGAAAGATCATGTGAGACTGATTACAGGAGCAATAACACTAAAAATTCCACTTTAAGTTGCAAGAATAAATAAAAATTTAAACTACATTTAATATGAAAACAGCTATTTTAAATTTTAATATTATTTACAGTTTAAACAAAAAAAATTGTACTGATCTTAGACTATTATATCAGCGGTAGAGTAAATGCACTAGGACAATTGACTCTCTGTTGATTTATCAGTATAGTTGTTAGTTTCAGGCTTTGGTCCTTTGGTTAGCTGTTTATCCAGATGAACTGCTGTTTTTCTTGTTTTCAGTGAGGCTGTCCTGTGCACAGTTATGAACTGATTACAAGCTCATAAAAATGTTCTTGGTTTTCTTTATTATGGGAACCATGTGTTGTGGTGGTGAGGTGAGCGCTAAGGCGATTTCTCATGATGTCTGTTGTGTTTTTTTGCAGGTTCCCTCTTTACCCCAGAGGAGAGCGCTTCCAGTTTGAATATGGTGTCTATTTGCTCAACAAGAACATCGCCCAGGTAAGAGTCTCACTGTCAAAGTCAAGGGTGGATGTTAAAGCAAGTTTTTGACACAGTAGGTCCTTATATTGTAGCCTCATTAAATCAATGTTTTAAAACTGGTGATGCACCTGATGTTTTAAAACTTGCCACTGTAAATCCTTTGCTGAAGCAACCTAACTTAGATCCATCTGTTATAGCCAAGTATAGACCCATTTCAAATCTGTCCTTCATCACAAAGATCTCAGAAAAAGTAGTATTGCAGCAGCTGCAAAGATTTGAAGATGATCACAAAATCTTTGAGGTTTTTCTGTCAGGTTTCAAAAAGTATCATTCAACCTAGACTGCACTTGTTAAAGTTTTAAATTATATTTTGCTTACTTGTGGTGCTGGCGATTGTGCTGTGCTTGTGCTATTAGATCTGAGTGCTACATTTGACACAGTAGACCATGCCATCTTGTTTGCCTGCTTAGAGCATTGTGTAGGGATAAAAGGAAGTTCCCTGGAATGGTTTAAATCCTATCTGTCCAATCACAGTTTAAAAGTCACTATTTGAGAACATTCATCTAAGGGAGCACATTTTTTTTATGTGGTGTTCCCATGTTATATTTTTGTGATGTGTACTGTGCAGCATATTGGTCAACCTCTGGTTGTGTTTAATAGTGCTATAAATAAAATTGACATTGGCGTTAAAATAGAAAAACTTGACTGCTACTCTTTATTTATTATTCAATTTAATTTAATTTTTATTAATTTATTTATTTTTTAATTTTTTTTTCAATTTTTTACTTATATTTTTAATTTAATTTAATTTTTCACTATTTATTTTTCTTATTTATTTTTTTCTTATTTTTATTTTATGTATATTTTATTTAATGTTTTATTTCATTTAATTTAATTAATTAATTTATTTAATTATATTTTTATTTTAAAGTCAGAGATCACATATGTCCTTAATTAGACAGTTTTCTGACAGCATTTATTAAGTCAATTGAAAGTTTTATTAAAGTATTTTTTAAAAACAGTAAATAAATATAATCAATTACTTATTAAAACCACCTACTGATGGTTTAGTAGCATATTTAATGGAACAGTTTAATTGTTTTTTTTATTATTTAATATGTGTCTGTCTCCCTCCTGCCTGCTTTTTTTAACCCCCCCCCCCCCCACCCTCCTTGAATGCAAAAAAAGATATTTTGAAAATAGTTGGTAAACATTGACTTCCAGAGTATTTGTTTTTCCTACTATGGAATCAATGGTTACAGGTTTCTAGGGTATCTTTTTGTGCTCAACAGTAGAAAGAAACTAATAAATGTTTAGAACCACTTGAGGGTGAGTAAATAATGGATAAATTTTTGTTTTGGGGGGAACAATCCCTGTGCATGTAAAAATTGTGGTTTTGCTATCAAAAGTTGTCTGGAAGTGATGTTTACATCATGACTTTTACGAGCCACCACTCTAATCTAATTTCAATTTTAAGCCTTGCTCTGAATTATACAGCTCCTATTTAATCAGTTTGAGTGTAATATTAACACTCCTCCAAGTCTCTGAGAGAGAAATCCAAACCCCCTGTGCTCCAGCTGTTGCCCAAACTGAAGAAAACTGCAGAAAGAACAGAGAGGTCGAGCGGATCGGTCCGTCTTTGACCCACACAAGCCGCATACGTGTTGCTAAAACGTTAGCGTAACTGTGCGAGGTATGGAGCGATATGTAAACCCAGCCAACTCTGAGGGGAAAACGTATATATCTGTCATGTTTGATCTACGCCTCCATTTGTAGCCTGACTAAGAGATGCCCTCCGCAGCATGTTCTTCATACTGCCTGTCGCCCACCATTTCCATTCCTCATCCCCTTAATCAGAAGCAATGTAAAGCTTTGCACCTTTGCCAGAAATCTTCATTAACCCTGTCAGTGTTTCTCTGTAGGGCAGGCTAATTGAGCCTATCTCGAAATGCTGACCGCCAATTCGAGCACTTTTTATGCTCATTGTTTGTGAAACCAGTCAAGGCGATCCATATGAGCTCAGCGAAGTCAATATTTTGAGGCTTTCCAGTTGCGGGAACTCTACCAACTGGGCTTTTAATGTTAGCTAATGTTAGGTAATGTGGCTATGTGGCGAAACAGATAAGCTGTAACCCACTGCATTTCTCAGGGCTCTGTTTTAGGCCTGCACTCATTCTGTACACAATGTTTACATTTTTTGGGTTAAAATTTTTTTAACCCATCATGGAGTCTGTTTATGGAAATGTGTGTAAATATTTATTCAGTTTTATGTTCATGTCCATAATATTATGTGAACGTTTATAGAATTTTTTTACAGTACCATTTGCAAAGCAATAATTTCTTTCTTTTAGTCGATATATTATTTGAAAGACACTGTAAACCTTAAATTCAAGTTAAAAAGTTGATATTTTGATTTCATGTGTAGACGTTTTAGCTACTGTACTCTTAAATACTCTCAAATGAGTCTCCAGTTAATGATTTACTGAAACAGTCAGTGTGAGTCTGCAGTTAACTATTGATTTAAAAGCTCCATACAGAAAGATTCCCCAGTAAATGGTTCACTGATTCAGTTGATACAGTCAGATTGCACCTGCAGTCAGCTTTTTATCGATTCAAAAGATCCATACAGAATGATTCCCCAGTTAATGATTTGCTGATTCAATTGATAAGTCCTGAGTGAGTCTGTAGTTGAATCATTCATTGATTCAAAACATCCATTAAGAATGATTCCCAAGTTACAGATTTTCTGATTCAAATTATAGTCAAATGGTATCTGCAGTTATTTATTTATTGATTCAAAAGATCCATACTGAATGATTCCCCAGTTAATGGTTCACTGATTAAATTGATAAGGACAGAGTGAGTCTGCAGTTGGACCATTCATTGATTCAAAACATCCAATCAAAATGATTCCAAAGTTTCCGATTCACTGATTCAATTAGTACAGTCAGATCATTTCTGCAGTTAACTATACATCAATTCTAAAGATCCATACAGAATGATTCTTCAGTTAATGATTCACTGAATCAATTAATGACGCCAGAGTGAGTCAGCAGTAAGACCATTAACTGATTTAAAACTCCATTCAGAATGATTGTCAAGTTAATGATTCAGTTGATACAGTCAGATCATGTCTGCAGTAACTATTCATCAATTCCAAAGCTCCATAAAGAATGATTCTCAGTTAATGATTCACTAAATCAATTGATGAGGCCAGAGTGAGTCTGCAGTTGTACCATTCATTGATTCAAAACATCCATTCAGAATGATTCTCAAAGTACCGATTCATTGACAATTGATACAGTCAGATCACGTCTGCAGTTAACTATTCATCGATTCAAGCGATCTATACAGAATGATTCTGCAGTTAAAGATTCACCTAAACAATTGATGAGGTCAGAGTGAGTCTAAATATAGTCAGATTCATAATTTATTTCCTGCAAAATACAAAAACAGTATGTACTTTTACTTCCAATATGAACATTAAATATCTTAAAGTACATCAAAATTTATTTAGCATTTTGAAAAAGGGCTTTATACATTTACTGCAGGGATATTTTAGTAGGTGATCTGTACTTTTGCTGAAGTCTCGCATCGCTAACCCTAAATATAGTAAAATCGACTTTTTCCTACCTAATGTGATTTGCGAATAACTGACAAATGAAATTCTGTTTGTTTTTATTTTTCCGCTTTTTTTATGCGTTCCGTTGGTTCGCCGTAGCCGCAGTGGCTCTGTATGTCCGGCTGCTGAATCTAAGCAGAGATCGGGTTTCACAGGCGCTCTTGTTCTGGAATGGAGGAGATTAAGCGTCTATCTTTTATTAAATTGTGTGTGTTTGAAAGCGATCCAAGCAGGCAGGAGGGAGAGCGAAAGGGGGGTGTATGAGTTTGCTTTGAAGCAGCGCTGACTGGATGTTGTTTTTATTTAGTCCTCGTGTCATGAGAGGAAGGCAGAAGAATGTCAGGTGGCCAGCGGGGGTTTGGCCACGCACTTTCAGCTGTGATGGATGAGTTGTTGTTGTTTTATTAATTATACACTGTTTCTTAATGTTGCAGATATATGGATGAGTCGGAATGGACATTAGGTCATCTGTTTGTTTTATTTTTAATATTTAACTTGAATGTTTTGTAACCTCTGATGGATTAGTTTTTAGAAGTATTTCAGCATGCTGTGAGACTGTCAGCATGCTTAAGATTTCTCAGAGATGTTTAGTTTTAATATCCATCATTTTTAAAGCACTGTTGCTGTTAAAGCTGGGCTTTATTACATTTTCACCAATATTAACTGTATATTTTAAGGAAAGTTTTGCATATTTTTTTTAGTATCAGTAAGATTTTTTTTTTCGTATTAGTAAGATGTATTTAGTATCATTAATACTAGTAAAATTCTGTGAATACTGACTTTCAATGAAAAGTGTATTGCAAAGCTTTATTTACTTTGAATGACATACATGCGTCTTGCATAACACATTTTTTATAAAAAGAGGTACATGGGGGATGGAATAAAACCAAAATGTAAACCTGACTAAAATTTGTTTGTAACTACATTATTATTTTAGAAGTACAACAAAGAAATAATGTATGGATTAAAGAAATAATTAATCCATAAAATGTTAATTACCTCATCATTTACTCTCTTTTATGTTTGTTTGTTTGTTTTTATACGTTATTGTCCCTCAAGGGGGAATTTTCTTGGATTCACACAGATCTTCTGACACAATAACAATTAAAAATAAGCAAACATGCAAAAGAATTACATACACCATCCATCAGTGTTCAACAGTCTGATTGACACTGGGGAAAAAAAAAGAGTTCTTAAGTCGGTTCCGCTTCCAGCCGAAGGTTCTGTATCTTCTACCCGAAGGTAAAAGATCGCAATGTGGTTTTAAACCTTTATGACTTATGAACTCTAACACTAAGATGATCGTAGCTGTAATATTTATTTGATTAATAGTAACTTTGTAAAGGGATAGCTCACCCAAAAATGAAAATTCTGCCATCATTTACTCATCCTTTGT